GCGGCGCGCGCGGCCCCCGACGGTCTCCGCCGAGGACGCGTCCGTCAGCTCGTCGCGGGGTTCTGAGCCGGCGCCCTCGCTGCCCGAGCGCGATGCCCCGTCCTCTTCGTCTTCCTCGCTTTCCTGACGCAGGACACCGAGTAGAGCGAGCGTTCCCAAACGGAGGCGACCCCGTCGCGGGCGGCCGCGGAAGGCAAACCTGAGCCGAGCCGGCGGTCGTGAAGTCCGCCGCCGAAGAGCGCCGCTTCTTCTGCACAAAGATGCTCTTGCGCTTCTTGCGCTTCGGTTTGAGCTGCTCTCCCGCCGCCGCGTCCTCGCCTCCGTGCGGCTTGGGCAGCCTCCTTTTCTTCCCGTAGTAATAAGCTGCGCACACGTAAAAAACAAAAAAAGGAAGGAAATCCTTTGCACGCTGCAGTAATAGGAGTCATTTTTCGCAGAGTCAACAAATGGGAGAAGACGTCAGTTTGGACTTTTCTGCCGCAGGTGGCCACGGCATACTGAGCACAGAAGGAGCAGCGCGACGGCCATCGCTTTGAAAAAAAAAAGCCGAGTGAAGAGTAGCGTTTCCAGCGACCCCCACTCACTGTATTTGGTCTTGGTCTGCACAAAGCAGCTCTCGGGGCACTTTTCGGGGACAAGCGCGGGGCCGACGAGGTTGGGGCAGCACTGCAGCTTGACGCACACTTTGCGGCAGAAGTCCGGGATGAGGTCGGCCAGGCGCACGATTTTGATGCTGGAGCGGTACGTTTTCCCTTTGTATCTGAGGGGGGAAGGCGAGACGAGACGCGTTTGGCGGGAAGAAGCGAGAGACGGCAGGCGGCGAGCCCGCGTCGTCCTCACTTGGCTTTCAAAGTCTCCTCCTGGCAGTCCCAGCTGGGATCCTCCAGCTCCTGCAGCTCCTTGAGGACGCGTCCGGGCTTGTAGGCGGCGTTGATGAGCATGCCGAGGAGCTGCGGGGCCGTAAAAACGCGCGCGTGAGCGGAATGCCCGAACGGCGCCTCGGTTGGCCCAACGTCGCCGCGGAGGAACGGGAGGCCAAAGCCGCGATTCCAGAGATTCACTCACCTCTTTGAGAACCAGAGTGCACTTGCCGGGTCCCACCGTCTGCGGCAGCTCGGCGATGCGTCCCTTGTTGAGGTACGGCCCCGAGAAGCAGCGGTGGTTGACAAACACCTTGGAGCAGCAGTAGCGGCCGTTGGCTGCCACGCGGGGAGAAAACGTGAGCCAAATGCATCGGTCGCTCTTGGAAACGTCACGACGGTGCTCGTTTTCTGCCAGTGCTATTTTGCTTGGAACCTCCAACGTGGTGCGAGGCCTTTTTCCACTTTTTCCAACCGGCAATTCGCCTCATTCCAAAATGCGCAGGGCCGAAACGGCCAATCCGCTTGGCCGTGTGACACATGAAAGGCACGGCAACAGCGGATGTGGCGTTTCCAGTCCTGCGTGTGTGTGTGTGTGTGTGTTGCTCTCTCTGTGCGGATCGCTGTCTGACTCAGACGGCGACCCCCTGACTCGTCATTCATTGGCGTCACCTGCGTCATTGGGGGGAGGCTGGCAGTGGTTGGCGGGAGGCGGCTCGGCGGGCTGGGACGGCGCCAATCTGCGGGGATGTCACAACGTGAGCCGCGGTGCAATCGCTTGGAAAAATCTTTTGATGAGAGCCCAATTCTTACTGCTTCTCGGGCTGGACCACGGCAATCTTGCGGTGCTTGCCGACTGTTGCGGAGACAAGAAAAGGGTTTTTTCTTTTCTTTTTGGGAAAAGACGGGCGGCGCGAGGGGGGCCTCGCCCAACGCGTTCATTCCAAAGAGAAGGGAGCGGCATCCCCACACTTAGTCGTCGCTCCCTCTCGTAGCGTACGCTCCGCGGACCCGAGGCATCGGATCGCAGAGAGACGTTTTTTGTTTTCTTTCTGCGCATTTCTAAAAAACGGGCACGTACCGGCAGGTTTGAACGGCAGGTTGAGAGGATAGGCGTTGGCCTCACACCAGCCCACAGGAAAGATGTCCATGGACTCCACGTCGGCGATGATCTCGCAAAACTGCTTGTGCGCACCTGTCGGCGGACCACGAGGCTCACTCGGCATCGAAATCCATTGGGCCTGTTTTTTGTTTGTTTCAACCTTCACCTTCCAGTCGCAGCCACAAGAGTCGCCCTCGCACTTGAGTGATCTGCGCCACGCAGATCTCCGCCGGGCGCTCGGGGTGCACCGCCTCCAGCCACGTGTCCTTGGCGAAGGTCCGAGTCCGCCACGTCTGCACACGCGAGAAGGGGCCACGTTGACGCCGCTTTGCGTGTCGCGGGCAAGACGCGGGTTGGCGATGCGTCGCCGACGGCCGCGTTCCTCGTAAGAGCGCGCGGCAGACTCATTGGGGCGCGGCCTTACGTCGGGGAAGCAGGCGTCGGGGGCGGCTTCGGCGCCGCCCCGCTTGAGGTAGTCGGCCCAGTCGAAGTCGCGCCCCTGGTAGCCGCGCGGCCTCTCCAGACCGGCGCCGTTCTTCAGGCACCACTGGATGGGCATGATGCCCGGAGAGGCGGCGTGACACAACGCCGAGCGCGCTTCGCCGTCAGCCGCCAGGTCGTCCGCCGTCACTTGGAAGTAGTTGTCGTCGAAGACCTGCCGAGTGGACGCTCGTCTTTTGACTTCGGCCGCAACCGGACGCCGACCAGACTCACCTTGGTGACGGAAACGGGGCAGATGCGCAGGCGCTCCCACAGAGAAACCATCTCCAGCTTCATGCCCACCTCGAAGGCGTGCGCAGGCGGGTCGGCGTGGTCCTGCCACGGGAGAGCCAACAAACACTTCACGACCGATTGCTCAGGCGCGCACGCGCAAACCGCCGTCGCGGCTCCATTTCACCAGGACGCGGGACCGATCGCAAAGTGCGAGGCGGCGTCGGAAGCGTTTCACCTTGAACACCTCCGGCGGCACGGCGCTCGTCTGGCCGTCTCGTCTGGCGTCCTCCAAAGCGCGCTCCCAGTCGCCGGCGCTCTTGAGGGGACGCAATTCTGTGAGGATTCGGAGGAGGAAAAAAAAAGGGTGAGAAATGACTCACCCCAAGAGCCGAACCACTGTTTTTTGGTTTTTTTTTTTTTTTTTTGGGGGGGGGGGCGTTTGGAGGATGGATCAAATCAACATCTGCTGACTGTTTGAGGGCTTGTGTCGGGTGATGGGCAGGGCGTTTCTTTCGCGGGGGGTTGATCACCTGCGGGCGGCTCCAATGCCAAGCGGTTCTCCTGCGCCCACCCGAGGGGGCGGAGCCTGACGTCCAGGTAGAAGAGCCACACGTCCCGAGCCCGATGCTCGTCCGAGAGGCCGGCGAGACGGAGACGCAGCCGCCCGCCGACGTTGCGCATCACGCGCGCCGGCCAGTACAGGAACGGCTCCGCCGCGTCGCGCAGTTCCAGGACGGAGCCCTGCACCATCAGGTCCACCGTGTTCTTCCCTCGCAGCGGCTACGGAAAGAAAAAAAAAAAAAGCCACGGCTTGGGGGTCCACTAAATTACTTTCAATGCATGATTTGGTGCCGTCATTTAAGTTTGGGCCGGCACCACAAGAAAATCTTTGGGTTTTGCGCCTCATTTTCCCGGGCAGATTCTTCAGCGCAAGTTGAAAATGCGGCGGCGTTCTCGGGCAACATTTCAGAAATACCGACTGGAATATTTTCTCTCGGTGACGCCGACAAGAGCAAACGTTCCCGGACACACTCACCCCCTCCAGCAGGTTCGCCGGCGCCGTCCTGGAACCGGTCAAGTCGCCCACCAGAAACTCCGTCCAATCTGCGTGTTTCTCGCGGATGGCTGCAACGACGCGCAAACAAAGCAAAGCGAGTCGAAGCAAGCGCGATTCACCACGACCGGACAGAGTTTCGACTTTTGCGCTCGATCGCAACGCTTCACGGCCCAGAGTGCCCAGCCAGCGCTTTGTGAAAGCAACCCCCCATCCCCACCCCCCTTTTGGCCCAACTCATTTCTTCTGCGGGACAGCGGTCGGGAAACAGGCTTGCGTGGGTGCAACGCACCTTGGGGGGGCCTGAGGGTCTTGCGGTTGCGGACGCACCAGCCCACCGGGTGCAGCTCGGCGGTCATGACGTCGCACCAGAAGTCGGCCCTGCGGTCGTCGCCGTAGCCGCTGAAGCGCAGCAGCAGCAGCTGGCCGCAGGTGGCCACCACGGTGGCCACCCAGTACGTGTCGGGCGCGCCCTTGTTGGCCACCTCCAGCTTCATGCCCGGCTGGAAGCTGCTCCGCAGGCTCACCTCCACCTGCCGGCCACGCAAACGGGACCACGCTTTCAAAATCCGGTCCCGCCAACCCCCGCTGGAAAGAAACGTCGCTTCCGAAGAAATAAAGACAAATGGCACCACAGTGTAGGCGGGGGAGTTTCGGCTATCGCGCGTTATTCCACCACCCCCCCCTCCCCCATTTTCACCGGGGGGAAATGGCAAGTCAGAAGCAAACAGTGCGCTCGAGCGCCCATGTGACTTCCTGCCGCTTACGTAACGCGCCGCCGACGGAAGGGCCCAAGAGAGAAGAGGCTTTGCGAGCGGGAAACCGCGAGCGCCGCACTTTACTGGGCGCCATCTTCGCGGGTGCGCTTCCACTCGCATCCCGGCACAATCGCTCGTCTGCGAGCCGCTTCCTTCCCGGCCGCCGCGTTCGGTCAAACGGCAACGTCTCGGCCCGAGTCACGGGCGGACATGGAAACGAGCGCTTGGTGCGTTTGCGGGCGGACTCACGTGTTTGAAGGCCGTGTGCGGGGCGGCGATGGCCCCCAACTCCTCCAGGCGCTCCTGCCAGTTAAACTCGGCTTCCTCCTCTCGGGCCTCCATGGCTTCGGGCTCTGATGCGACAGCAGAATGACAACACCGAGCCGACTTCGACCGCCGCTGACGACAAAGCGCCGTAACGTGGAGCAAAAAGCAATTCGGAAAACAAACAATACAACGGCGGAGCAAAATGCCAACTTTCCCAGCTCGGGTTCTTGCGGCTCTACTCGCGGCCGACCGAATTCGCCAGGACGCAAGTCAAACTGGAATTCCAGAGGCGGGCTTTCCATGTCTTTTTTTGGGAATGTCTTTTTGAGACTTTTCTGTTCGTCAATTCATGAGGGGCAACAATGTCAAACTACCTTCGGGGGCTGATTTTTTTCGCCCTCAACTTTCTGTTTGTCAGGCACGGCTGCTTCTTGAGACTTTTTGGGGGTCTGCTCAGGACAAACAAGCCAGCCGATAGGCTTCACAAGGATTTGTGGGGTTTTTTTTTAATGGGGAACAGCCCTTACCTGAGTTGAGCTCCTTGTCACACTCCTCGCCCGAGCGCAGCTCCTTCTCCTTCCCGTCGGTTGGACAAGCAGGTGCCTTTGACTGATCCTGGGCCAGCGACTGCATCCTTGCCACCTCAGACCTCGTCACCGCATCTCACGCTTCTGATGAAAAAACGAAAAATCAAGACCATCAAATCCGATCCAATAAAATCTTCCCAAGTAGCACAAACATTAAAAAACGTGGCTTCCGCAATAACCGGTGCCAGGAAGTTGCTGACGAACAGATCGAGGGGGAAAACCCGAGCCGGTAAGGCACAACCTTCCTTGGCAGGGGGAACCATTTTTAAACCACAAGTAGGTAAGCAAATAAATAAAAACGCTGTTATCATTCCACGCAACGCGTGCGGTGGACCGGTAGCCTACGCAGACTGTTCACAGCTGATAAGCGGCAAAGCGGTCGAACTGGAAAGACACCAGTCACTCTCAAAATATGCCACAAAGTCGTCTCTCTCGTTCTTTGTACACAAAGGGGGGGAAAAAATAAATAAACGTTCAAAGTGGAAGTAACGACGCTAATTAGTCCTGCGAAAGGCAATCAGCGGCAGAAGTCACACAAGTGGCTGGAAAACGTAAGAAGGCGTGTGTGTCACACTCAAAAGAAATTCAACACAAGTATGAGCAGAAGGAAGTTTGGAATTCCATGAGAAGAAAGGTTGGAAGAAGGGGAGGAAAAAGTTGTTCAACAAGTTGTCATGTCACAGCGATACAGTCCAGTGAGAATTAAATTAAGATTTGGGGAGGAAAAAGGGATGAAAAATTCAGAAAGTCGTACGAGAATAAAGCGCCTATCAAGGCTCTCAGCCGCAGAGGTGGACGCGCTTCCGCCAACTGCGCGATTTGCTGCTGCTTATTCGACCTCTGCTTTCTCCCTCGGGAAGTCAACGACGCTTTGGGAAAGGAGCGGTTTGACAGGAGACAAAGCTCACGGCAGCCCAACATGCACAACTTTGAAGGGGGCGGAAATAAGACGACAGAGAAAAAGATGCAATCTGCATCATCGATAAGTTTTTTTCCGGGGAAACAATAATCATACTCAAATAGTTTGTTTTGAGAACAAAATCTTGAGGAAAAACAGCAGATGGATTAAAAAAAAAACTATGGGTTCAATTTTAGTCAAAGATACAAAGTTGTAACCTTACATGAATAAAGTTGGACCTTTTCGAGATAAAGAGTATTTCAGTATTTAGTAAAATGTCAAAATTTAACAGTAACCACAGTTTTCTGGCTTAAAAAGTTGTCTTTTCTAAAGGCTGACTGTTGCTTTTGTTTTTAAGCAGTCACCCATCCGAGAAGAATATAGATTTAGTTTTTAATGGGGGGCTTACTGAAAAATGGTATTTTCTAGACACAGAAATAACGTCGCCATGTTCACTAATGACCTCCCACACAAGGTTTTATCTGTGCCAGGTACCTCATAAAAAAGGGATCCTTTTGAGGTCGTGTGTTTATCCAGATTTTATTTTCAAAAATTAGGTCTCGGAACGCCGCATTTGAATCTGTCAAATTAAAAGGGCAGCAAAGTTCAAACCAATGACGGGAAATGAGCATCGAAAGCTCAGCTCAACGGAGCACATTTTGCTCGAGGCCATCATACAAGGCGATCAAATTGAAAGAGGAAACGTCGTCGCTTGGGGTTTTGTGCGGTCGTCACGTAGGGGGGGTGAAGGGGGGGGGCGTGGAAAAGGAGGCAGAGGAGCAGGCTGCCTCGCCGGCGTCTCATGTACTTTGCACACTGCAAACTGCGGCAGAAAAAAACCCGCACGCACTCGCCCCGTGCACACTTTGAATTTAGTTCACTAAATTTTGCGTGTGCGCACCAAAAGAGACCAAGGTGGGAAGTTGGCGCGGCGCGGATGTATTTTTTCCTCGCTCAAAAGATCTTTGAAGTGGCAGTTAGGAAGCGCGGCGCCATGTTGGTCCGAGTGACGTTGCCTTTGATATTATGTGTGTGCTTTTTTTTTTAACGCACCTTTCTTTCGTTCGTTCGTTACCGCAAAAAAATGACTCGGCAGCGTGCTGGCCGCCATCAGCTCATTTATAAAAGGTGGTCGACACGCGGGGGGTATCTTTAAAAGCGACATTTCCGGGTTTAAATAACTGCATCACGAAGGCATTGTTTAGCACGAGACACTTAAAGCAAGTTAAGCTAGCGAAAACACCCCCCCCCAACACACACCCACAGCTCCAACGGTCGAGCTGAAGCGCTTACAAACAAGAGAAAATTAAGTCCCTCTGTTCGTTTGGTCGGTAAAAACGCGAAATACGCACATCAAGCGCCCCCTCCCACCTAGCCGATTCGCCACCTGTCTTACCTGGCCGCATTTTTTTTTTAAATCTTCTAAGACACTTCCGGCCGGAGCCCCCCCGCTGGGTTTGCTCCCGCTTCGCCTCGCCGGAGTCAAGTCCAGCACTTCTCTCCGCTCCCGCCCCCGTTCCAATATGGCATCTCGCTTCTGCGCATGCGCACAACAAGGACCCCCGTCGTCTGAAGCCGAGTGACTTTGTAGTATGTACGAAATCCAACACGCACCCCAACACAGAGACCCAGCTGCTGTTCAGGACAAAAAGTCGACATTTTGATCGAGATACTGCGGAATTCAACCATTGAAAAAAAAAAAACCAAAACTTTAAAGAACACCGTATTGACAAATATTAGACGTCAAGATACTAGCAAACGCATTCAGCGCGCGTTTGTTTGTCTGATCAGTTGGCTCAGACGTGAAAAAAAACCCCGCAGAAATTCCTCGTTTACCCGTGTTTTCTTGTCCACTTTTCTTCCTTCGGCAACAACAACAAAAAACCCTCTCCAGTAGTTGAGTAAATTGCTTCATCCGCGTCTCTTCCTTTGTCGTTCAAGTCAACAGTAGCCTCTAGTGGCGGCAAGCAACAGAGCAAAGCTTTATGACGGAGACACATAACGGAATTAAAAGACTAAAGTCACTTTGAACGCCGTCTCTTTGATGCTCTCGGATCACGTGGGAGGAAAAAGACCTCAAGGGATCGTTGACATTTTTTTCCCCCCACAACACCAAAGTTTGGCTTCGCGGTTGGTGCCGGAAAGCCCCTTCACAAACTCGTGACTGTCACGCAAAGTCACATCACCGTGATCATCCACCAATCATACATGGACTAAGCTTCTCCCAAAAATATCGCGAGATGACAGAGACCGAAAGTTTACGTCTCATTTTATGCAGCATTTAGATGTCATGCTGAGTTACTTCGATGCCTTGATAAAACAAGTTGACCTCGTGGGTGAATAAAGTCCAATGACGTGCGTTTTCCCTCATGAACGGAACTTTTGATGCCGTTTCGTGCAAAATTTCTGGTCAAATAAACGCATTGTATCATAATTAGCCTAAGGAAGAGGCTCGACGGGTTTGTTGATGAGGAATCCCCCCCCCCACTAAAGAAAAGAGCGTGCGTGCGTGCAGGTTTGGAGGTTGAACAGATGGTTGGCGCATGCGTGTTTTGCCATTAATCTGCTCCCGAAGAGGCTCTCCCGGGCGCCTAACAGCGGATTAAAGTGCTTACTTGACACCCAAACGATGCTCTTTGTTTTGTTTGCCAAATTCAATTCCTTCTTCTTGGATAAAACTTGAAACAACTGCACCGTTTACAACAAAATGAAATATATTGAAAAGAGCTCTTAGCACGGCGTTATTGACATACTTCGGTTGTAAGGAGCAGAATAAAAGTATTCACCACAAGATGCAAGGCCAAAACGCCGGACCACAACCGGAAGTGATCCGGATGTCTCTCAAAAAGTAAAAGCACAAGCCCTCTTACAACAAGGAGCTACAGGGGAAAAAATGTCAAATGAGGTTACAGGGGGCTTGAAATTAAACACCTAAAATAAAAGTACGTGTTGAACGACTGGGGCGAAATCTGCCGTCCCCCAAATGGAGGTTACGCTCTTATTTTGACACAAGCAAAGCGAGGGCTCCACTTTGCAAATTGGGATGACTTGACGGTTGTTTTTCTTCCACATCAACGTGTACGCTGGGCGACGGAATCGACTTGAACGTTTGCTCGAGTTGCCTTATCATTCAGCCCGACGGTTACATTTCAAACTCGGACTTTCGATCGCGTCCGTGATCGCAAATCAGCGTTGCGTTAACTGAAAAAGCACATCCGGCGAGGGCACACGGGAGCGAGCTGCGCTTTTGTCTGACGGCACGGCGCGTCTTCGTCGCCGCCATCCATGGACGCGTACGGTCCCGGCGGCTCTTTGTTGCTCAAGGCTCGGTCGTTCGTTGCCGGAGAGCCGGAGGTGAGCAACATGAGTGACATCGACAAAGCCAACCCGCACGGATGCGACGACGGCGCCCTGACGGACCGCTTCGGGGTTCTCATCCAGGGACTCCTGGCCATCGTCGCCTTCAGCACGCTCATGTGTGAGTGGCGACAAACGATAGCCAGATTGGAACATCGGGGTTTTCTTTTCTTTTTTTCCGTGGGTTCCCCATCCCCAGTCAGAAAAAAAGAAGCGGCGGGGAACAACGTTAAATGACTTGCGCGTTGGCGTCTTGTTTCCGTTTGGTTTTCCCCTCGGACTGCGCGCCAAGTCCGGTTAAAAAATCTGCTTAGTCGAACTTTGCTTGCTTATTGCACGCGTTTTGTGCGACGGTCGAGCAGCGCGGGGCCGCGGACTAGCTCGAAATGACCCCGAGTCACATTCGGCGTCTTTTAAGCCGAATTAAAAGTAAGCCTTTTGTCAGACGTGCTGCCAGATGTACAAACGCGTCCAAGGAGACGCGCGTTGTTGCTCTGAGCGCTCTCTTTTCCAAATATGTATTTGGAGGAAATGATTGTGCTGTTTTCATCCCACCAGACGGCCACACTTGTTGTCAAAATCCAACATTTGATTTTGAGCCAAACATACATCACATATCGAAGTGCACTCACAGTCAAAGTAGTGAGCGTAAATATTCCATTTCTACAATAAAATTGACGATTTCCCCCCCCAGGTTGTTGTGTTAGACAGCTACTTTCATTAAACCCAGCGATACAGTACATATAATCCATGTTTTCTTCTGCGATGTGTGTGACTTCCTCATTTGACTTCCTGATTATTATGATGCGTGTTTTTTTTTTCATCATCTCTCCCTGGAGGCTGCAAATGTCAAAGTCCGCACCATTCAACAGCGAAAACGAGGTTAAGTATTTATCACACGGGAAAACAAGGCCTGATAAACAAGTGGCCATGCTGCAGCAGCTGACTCGAGGAATGTAGGCCACCTCTGCAAGAAGAGTCCTGCTGCTGTCTTGCTCCTGCTTTGAGTCAAGCCCTCTCACACAGAGTAGCATTGACGAACAAAACGTTGGGGCGTGCATCCCAACTGGCAATTGGTGCGCGAGTGCATGCGTATGATACACTCACCGGTCACCACTTTGCAAAGGTCAACGCGCTGGAGTGATTTCGTCAAGCCGCAGCAGGCAGAGCACCGTGCCGAGGCCCGGCGGGATCATTCAGCCTCCACTCGGTTACTCATTCGCAGCCCACCGCAATTGTACTGCAGGAATAGTCAGCGGCAGGAATATCCGTTGTTTTTGCCGCAGATAAAGAACGTCAAGGTCTGAGAGGATTGTTCTCTGGTTGGTCAGTCAACGCGTGTTGTTGCCATTTGTGTTCAAATATCCACGCGTAGCACCTCTCTCTTAGCGGACTCTGAGTTCAGAATAAAAAGGAGACTATGTTGAAAAGGAGTTCAATTGAGTTCACTGCCAACGGGATATGTCAAATTTTTTGCTCACAAGTCAAAAGTTCAACAAACTACAAAAAAAAAAAATGTCAGCGCAACGGCTTAAATCTCTAAAATAGGGTCCATTTTAGAATTCCTTGTCTCAACACACGTTGACTTGTTTTGCAGTGAAAAGGTTCCACGAGCCCGCAGGGATCCGCCGACCTTGGAGGATCTGGTCAGCAATGTTCCCTTTCTTCAGATTTCGGGATAAAAACCGGCGTCTAATTTGGCACAAAATGTGGAAATGGCCTCTAAATTCCCGCATGAAATGTTTTCCAGGTTTTTCGACACGTCCAAGCAGGCCATCGGCGCCCTGTTCATCCACTTTGCCAACGTGTTCCTGTCCACGCTCACCAAGGAGGACCCTTGCTCACTGTCAGTTGCACTCTTTTTTTTTTTTAATGTATACACATTCACTCGAGATCATTTCTTATCCGCGTTTCCTGTTGTCATTTGCCAGCTACCTGATGAACTTCCTGCTGGACGCCACCATGGGCATGCTGGTCATCTGGCTCGGCGTCAAACTGGTGGCCAAGGTGGTGGAGTACAACCAGTGGACGCTGTTCACGTTTGGCGAGTACGGTGAGTTCCAACAGAAGATGACACGCTGGAAGACAGAAGAAAAGATGTGAGTGGAAGGTGGAGCCGCCAGGTTGCACTTCTTGTCGTAGCCACTGGAGGTCACTGTTGTCATAGGGCGCGTGGGGGACGCAAAGGTGTTTGAAACGTTGACTTTGGAGGGCTTTTCAATGATTGCATTTGCACTCTTGATAAACATCAGGCATAATATCTCAACATTAGTGGTGAAATTTGGCTTCGTGTTGCAGGCGACCCCCCGCAGGCGGCGGCGTGGTTGGGCCAGTGCGGCACGTACCTGCTAATTATGGTTCTGGAAAAAGGCGCTATCAGCCTGGTGCTGCTCGTGCCAGGATGGTCCAAAGTATGCGCGCGCCCCCACACGGTCTGAAAAAAATAGTGCAGAGTTGTTCTGAAATGAGCACATTGTGGTTTCCAGCTGCAGGAAGTTCTGCTGGGCTACATCGCAAACCCTCAACTGGAGCTGGTGCTGGTCATGCTCATCGTGCCCTTCATCGTCAACGTAAGCCTCCGCGTCCCGATTTGGCGACTTCTTTCGGAGTGAGGATGCTTCTGTCGTCTTGTTCCAGTCGGTCATGTTCTGGGTGGTGGACAGCCTGACCATGAGGAAGTTGAAGACCACGAAGAGCCTGGACGACTCGTGTGACGTCACGCCCGAGAAGGGCGACGCCTCGCCTTGGGCGGTCGATGAGGAGTCGCGGGTGAGGACTGCAAAGCGGGCAAGGAGGGGGTCTTCCTTCAAACTGAAAGATGTGAAAAATGTCATGGGAGGACGTACCATTATTCATGGAACCCCATCTATGATTAAAATTGGTTGTTTGACCAGTGTTATTCTTTGGGAAGGATAACCTACGCGACAACTCACAGAGCTGCAAATATTTACGCCGCGCCCCCGTTTCCCCATCTCTGATGAAAATTGGCTGTTTGACCAGTGTTATTCTATGGGAAGGATAACCTACGCGACAACTCACAACAGAGCTGCAAATATTTACGCCGCGCCCCCGTTTGGGGGCATTTTGAAATGCAAATGACAATTGTCAACTTTTTTTTTTTTTAAACCCATTTTCATGGTTTTTTGGGCCAACGCAGGTTCTGCTGACAGTGGAGACGGACACGGATGAGGGCGAAGAGGAAGCAGGCAATGGTGCTCTGCTGCCCCCCGTGCACTTGTCAGGAGGGCAAGCGAGGCCCGGCTGGGTGATTGTGTGAAGCCGCTGGCATCTCAAGCATCTGTGCGCGCCCGCACACCCACGCACGCACACATACACACGCCAATTCAAGATCCGCACATCAGCTTTCAAGTGGAAACGCCGCCACGTCGGGTCTCGATTTGGGCGGAACAAAGACGACGAAGAGACTTTTGTATATAAAGGGAGGATTCCTTGGCACTTCAAAATGGGGACCGATGAACTAAGCAGGCAAAAGCTTTCTCAGCTGTTGTCTGTGCGCCAGGAGAATCGAGTGCAACAATCTGGAGAGGCCAAAGATTTCCCTCCGGCGTGTGCGCTCGTGTGACTGACCGAGCCGCTCTTTTTAAGAGAACCTTCGGTCACAAACTGAGCAGGCAAAAGGTTTATCACCAGTCTGGGTTCTGCTGTGTAATTTGAAAGTTCCTTTCTCAGGAAATCAAAAGGTTTCTCGCCAGTGTGGGTTCTTCTGTGACTAATTAAATTTCCCTTGAGAAAATGTTTGGCCATAAACTGGAAAAAGGTTTCTTACCGGTGTGGGTTCTTGTGTGACTCATTCGGCCTGTCTTCTGAGAGAATCTTTGGCCACGATCTGAAGAGCGAAAGGATTCTCGCCAGGATGTGTTCTCGTGTGTCTCACCAAGCTTCGTTTCCGAGAGAATTTCCGGCCACAGTGTGAGCAGGCGAAGGGTTTCTCACCAGTGTGTGTTCTGGTGTGGATTTTTAAGTCTCCCTTCTGAGAGAATCTTCGGTCGCAAACCGCACAGGAGAAAGGCTTCTCACCAGTGTGGATTCTTCTGTGACTTTTTAAGTGAACTTGCAGAGAGAATCTTTGGCCACAAACTGAGCATCCGCAAGATTTCTCCCCGGTGTGGGTTCTTGTGTGGTCAGTTAAGCTTTTCCTGACGGAGAATCGCTTGTCACAAACCGAACAGGCAAAAGGTCTCTCACCGGTGTGAGTTCGCATATGGTCAGTTAAGCTTCCCTTCCTTGAGAATCTTCGGCCACAAACGGAGCAGGCAAAAGGTTTCTCCCCAGTGTGGGTTCTGGCGTGTATTTTTAAGTAGCCCTTCTGAGAATATATTTGGCCACAATCTGAGCAGACAAAAGGTTTCTCACCGGTGTGGACTCTTGTGTGTATTTCAAAGCTTGTCTTATGAGAGAACCGCTGGCCACAGTCTTTACAGGCGAAAGGTTTCTCACCAGTGTGGGTTCTTGTGTGATCCCTTAAGCTTCCCTTCCGAGAGAATCTTCTGCCGCAAACTGAGCAGGCGAAAGGTTTCTCACCGGTGTGGGTTCGTGCGTGATCAGTTAAGCTTGTCTTATGAGAGAATCTTTGGCCACAGACTGAACAGGCAAAAGGTTTCTCACCAGTGTGGGTTCTTTCGTGACTTCTTAACCAGCTCTGATTTGCAAACATTTTTCCACACTGAGAACATTTCCGGCTTTGGTTTTCAGGATGACATTCCAGATCATCTTCAAACTCATCAGCGGGAGGAGGGCATGATGACGTGTCGTCGCTGTCTGGGCGTGGAGCTGAGAGGCCCACTGCTTGCGATGCTCCGCGGTGTTCTCCCTCACCTTCAGTTTTCTTGTGTTGACTTGAGTTGCTGCCTGGAGGCTCCGCTCTTCTGCTCACCTCACTCTGACCTTCATCTTCACTCTTCAAAGGGACACCACTCGATGGCAACTTGCAGATATTCGCCTGCTCTTCCTCCTCCTCTTTAATGTAGGGAGACTCTTGTCCCTCCATCGTGCAAGAGTGCTCTGGCTCCTCCTCCATTTTAATGGAAAGAGACTCCTGCTCCTCTTCTTTAAAGTGGGGGACCTTTTCGTCCTTTTCCTCTTTCATGTACGGGGGCCCTGGCGCCTGCTGTTTCGTGAGATCACAGTTACTGATGTCTGCAAGACACCAGAAGACAAACACACAGTATTATGGATGACATAGATTTGAAGTGGTCGACTGGTTCGCACATCCGCCTCACAGTGCATAAGTGCAGGTTTCGATTCCGGCTCTGGCCTTCCAATGTGGAGTTTGCATGTTCTCTCCGTGCCTATGTGGGGTTTCTCCAGGTACTACGTTTTCCTCTCATATTCCATAAACGCGCATCTGCGATTGGCTGGCAATCAGTTCAGGGTGGCCCCCGCTGACTGCCCAAAGACAATTGCGAGAGGCTCCAGCACGCCGCGACCCTCGTGAGGATAAACGGATTAAAAAATGGACGGATGGGGGACGTGCATGATTTAGTTGGACAGCTTTTATTTTGAAAGTGGCCAACGGCGCCTTGCACAGTATGAACAATCGCTGTGGCGGCTGCTTCGACGTCGAATTTTGCGTGTGGAGGCTGGCCTGACCACGCCCCATAGAGTCCAGGCCACCCATCTGCCTCTCATGCATGCAGTCGGATTCTCTCGAAACTATCAACAGTGGACTATGATACAAAACACAGAGTGGTCATTTACGAAGCTAATGAGAGCGCGAGACGTGTACGAACCTGCTCTGCGTAACACAACACGAGGCTGCTGGCAAACAGCTTCCGGTCGTTGACGATGACGTTGGTTTTCCTCCTTGGGGCCAAAAAGTTCCCCCGCGTACTCAGTCGTGGCCCTGGCCCACATTTTCACACTCCAACCCAAGACGGTTCCACCGGATGTCTGCTCAGTGATGTGTCGCCAACAAACGCGTCTATTTAAGACAGCTGCTAGCGGCCTAAATTAAGCTAACTCGGCAGAGAAACTGCTACGCGCAGCGACACAAAAACAAAATGTGACGAGTTTCGTCTTGCTCCGGTAAAGTAGTGATGGGACGCGCTGTGTCAACGATTCCGTCGGTTCCGTCCTACAGCTGGTCAAACGAACCCGCTCCCGAGAAGCTTCTTCTCCAGACCTCCCGAGTCACACGACTTGGAATGACTGTGGCCGCGTCCCAAGGCAGTTTGTGATGCGCATGCGCGGAAGGTCAGCCATCTTTGGTGTGGCGAACGACCGCAAGCGCAAAGTTGACGCTTGCCCCGAAACACAAGTGCGCGTCTTCTCCGCTCAGGCGCGAGAGTCGAAGTGGAACAAAAAGAGAGGCTGCCAAACAAGCGGTTTTATACAATACATCTTATCTCGACACAATACAATGCGCTTTCACGACAGCCGGAATGTAACAAAGCACTTTACACAACACTTAAATAACAAAACAACGGATTGAACGACAGCAAATCGGTCGTCGAGGCTCTGCGCCTTCAAGCTTGCAGGCAGTGTTTCAAAGGAAACAAAGTATTCGTCTGAGTGCATTCATTGGTATGATGGTGTTCTAACGACGAAATTCAAAGCATCGATGTAACAAAGCACTTTACACAACACTTAAACAACAATACAACAGATTGAACGACAGCAAATCGGTCGTCGAGGCTCTGCGCCCTCAAGCTTGCAGGCAGTGTTTCAAAGGAAAGAAAGTATTCCTCCGAGTGCATTCATTAGTATGATGGTGTTCTAACGACGAAATTCAAAGCATCGTAACAGCAAAAGACCAAAAAGAATAGTTATATTTCACACTTTTCAAGTGTGTGAGAAAAAAAGATATTCGTCAGGTTGTTGTAACAAAGTAGAGTGTTGACATGGCTGCCAAATTCGATTAGTGTGTATAAAATAAGGTTCCAAAGGCATGAAAAATGGAGCCTTCAGTCCAACAGAAAAAGATAAGGGAAAATACTCGGATACTGGACAGTTTTTGCTGTTTCCGTCAATGGTGAAGGAATACCCTTCGTGCATGTTGCCACCGTTCTCCTGTCTTATTTAAAGATAATTTCCCACAAGTTCGACAGTACCTGGACCGAGCCGATCTGGTGTGCCAGTGCGGGGCTGTCACGCCGCATTGCTGCCCTGCGGCCCCTCGCCCGTGTCGAACACGTGTGACGCGACGTAGTCCTCGTAGCGTCCGTCCAGGAGTTTGGCGCCGTTGTTCTTGGCGAACCAGCAGTCCACGCTCTGTGCGCCGCCGTGGATGCGTCGGCTCTTGCGGACCACCGGCACTGAGCGGCCCTTTACCTTCAAGAGTGCGGACAAGGGATTCTCACCGGGAACTGCTTCCACCACGCTCACCTCTTGATGCAGGAACTGGCCTGTGAAGAGGTGAGAGGACAGGTGAAATTTTCCTCAGCTGGGAGTGCGAGTTTGTTCCGACAATCAAGAACGATTTTTTTGGAGCTTCAACGGTGCCACCCCGGCTGCAAAAAATGAGCCCATAAATTCATTTCAGTACAATCGGCCAAGTTGCCACTGACCCAGAAGGCCACGGCAGCTCGGTGATAGGCCCTGGCTGTCTTGGATGTAGAAGCCCAAGTGGTCTCGCTGGTAGGGCGCCGGGTTCTTGTAGTGGTGCAGCAGGACCACCAAGCTGACGTTGCCGCCGACGCTCACCGTCACGTTGCTGCCGCCGCCGAGCGCCACCG